CCGATTTAGGCTACCCACACCTTGGCGAGCTAGATCTAAGTTACCCACACCCCTACGAAGTCAATTTTGGTGTGCTTAGGTGTGAGATCGATGCAAAACTTAAGGGCGCGGTTGTGGGTAAGTAGACAAGGGGCGTGTGCGTGCGTTAATGTGTGTCAGATGGCCTCTAATGTGCTGTTTTTGTGATGTTCGATATTATTTGTGATACGCTGATGTGTTAGGTAGCTCCCGGTTGTGGTAATCTGTATTCTTGGAGTATTGTTGAATATTTGTCGGTGATAATTGTGTAATTTCTGCTTTGCTAAACTGCTGAGAATTGCTGTGGGGATGTTTGTTGTTTGAATATGCATGAATTGTTCGGCGTGTTTCGTGTGTTTATTATATCTAGCAATGCTTATTGAATATTGATGTTGGATATTAAGTGTTTTGGGTGAACTGTGTTGGACTCTAATTGTTTAAAATTTGTTTGGTTATACTTGTTGTGACAAAACTCATTGTGGAGTTGTTGTTAAGAGATGTCATATTGTGAAAGCATGATTGGTTTATCATTCCATTATTAGAATGTTGTTTATGTTGTGGAAGCATAGTGAATTGTGTTTGTGAGTTGAAAGAAGCATGGGTCATGGCTTAAGAAAGTATATAGTAAGACTCTGGTGAGAGTTGGACTCTTGGAGAAAGTGAATAGGTGAGTGTCAGGGCCTCGGGTATAAATGGTGGGGGGCTGATACGTCACTAATTGAGTATCGAGGCCTCGGGTAAAAATGGTCGAGGGTCGATGCGAGGAGTCTTTTGGGAGGAAAGCTATTGTGGCCTTGGGTAATAATGGTCAAGGGCCAATAGATGGTGAAGTCATCGGGGCCTTGGGTAAAAATGGTCGAGGGCCGATGCGGTAGCGTCGGGGCTCTGGGTAAAAATGGTCAGGGACCGACTCTACTCGAAGAAGTTAACTGTGGAGGGCTAGGATAGCTGTGATAATCATAGATGTACTTGAGATGTTAGGGAAACTCGAGGTCGGTAGTTAATTTGTTCATGGTTGTGGTTGTCGCCGAATGTTATAGAGTGTGCCTATGTTTGATTGCATAATGTGATGAAGAGCATGACTATGAATGTTTTCA